AGGTTGCAGGCTCGATCCCCAGTAGGGGGTGTGCAGGAGGCAGCCAATCAATGACTCACTCACCACTGAGGTTTCTTTCTCTCTCCCCCTCTCCCTTCCTCTCTCTGAAATCAATAAAGATATATTTTAAAATGTATATATACATAAATATAAATTTTAAATGAAAAGGTTTAGACCAAATAAAATCATTCAGAGAAATAGCATTTTTCTTTTAAAATTTAATTATATTATTCAAAATGTATATATTGTACAAGGTGTATTACTGACCAAATGGAATAATTCTTTTTTTCTTTTTTTTTTAATATATCTTTATTGATTTCAGAAAGAGGAAGGGAGAGGGAGAGAAAGACAGAATCATCAATGATGAGAGCTCTGTCATTGATCGGCTGCCTCCTGCACGCCCCCAACTGAAGATCGAGCCTGCAGCCCGGGCATGTGTCCTGACCGGGAATTGAACCTCGATCTCCTGGATCCTAGGTCAACGCTCACCAACTGAACCACGCCGGAGTAATTCTTTTTTATCTCACAAATAGGTGAATACACCACCTATACAAAGAATGAAAAACCATGTATAACTAAAAGGATTGCAAACAGTTATAATTACCGGCTGGGGGAGCAGAGTATCAAGGAAACAATTGTCTTAAATTTTGCTTTGCTCTTAGAAGAACCACTGTATATTTCCATGAGCAGAGAATGTCATCGAGTAGAAGTAATTCACTTGCTGTCACTGACATGTGGTACAATCTGGACAAATTACAAAAACTGGCCATCTCAAATGATTTTCAAAAATAGTGTATGTAAATAAAGATAAATCACTATTTTTTTTAAAAAGAGGAATAGTGGAGCCATAAAGAAAGGGGATATTTTCTCCACAGATTCTCTTAAGGTATTCATTCCATCTCTCTTCTTTTGAGGCTAAGTATTTATATTAAAAAGGACTTGAAAAACCTTCTGCCAGCACCTACTAAAGGAAGCAAGAGCCCCTGGAAAAGCCTGTGACCTGTGAAGTGGTGCACTGTCAGACTAATTTATTTGAACTGGACACCACTGTAAATGTGACTCACCCTACTCCCCTATTTTTACATATCCAAGTTCCAGTAACTCTCAAATCCAGTATTCTATTCAAACTCTGTTGAGGTATTTTACTAACGTTAGTCCCTTTTTGGACTGTAAGACACTTTAGAATTTCCTAACAGAGGTAAATGTTATTTAGAAATTTTCGCCCGGCCGGGCGTGGCTCAGTGGTTGAGCATCAACCTAGGATCCAGGAGATTGTGGTTCGATTCCTGGTCAGGGCACATACCCAGGTTGTGAGCTTAATCAATGATTCTCTCATCATTGATGTTTCCATCTCTCTCTCCCTCTCCCTTCCTCTCTCTGAAATCAATAAAGATTAAAAAAAAATTTTTTTCAAGGACTCTTTTCCACAAATGTCACCAAAAAATTATAATTTTGTCAACACTGCTATTGTCTCCTTTTAGTACCACCACACTTAGACCTGCATTATTCATAGTACAGGGTGGGGCAAAAGTAGGTTTATAGATGTTTGTATGGAAAATAATACAATAATTAATAAATAATAATACAAGAGTAAACTTTCTCCTACTCACAACTGTAAACCTACTTTTGCCCACCATGTATAAATTTTACTCTTGCACGATAACTACTATCTCTCTCTTAAATGAGATCAGGTTAGTAAATGACATAAAAGCTTTGTTGTTTTGATATTCAAGAGAAAGGCAAGCTTCTCTAAGCTTGAATTTATAGTTATTAAAACAAACAAAAACAAGACAAAAGAAAAAAATATCCTGGACAATAAAAATTATTTTAAATAAATATATATGTAAAAAAGAATGAATTAAATAATAATTGGAATAATAAGGGAGCTATAACTCCATATGTTGCAGAGATTAAAAGAGAATACTAACAGGATATTTGATAAAATTATTTTTAATTTTTTATGTAATAATAGTATTGTGATTAAAAATGAATAGAGAGCCTTTATTTTTTAGAAATCCATACTAAAAGTTTTTATAGATAAAGTTATGTCTGGATTTTGCGTCAAAATAATATTAAGAGTGGAAGTAATAAGAGTGTGAAAAAGCATAATTGGCAATGAACTCAAGATTGTTAGGACTAAGTGATAGGGGTTCATTATATTATCTTGCCTATTTTCATATATGTTTAAAGTTCTCCAAAATAAAATGATTTTTAAGAAATGGTATAAGAGAATTAAGAAATTCACTGTACTCTCCCTTCTAAAATATAGAAGAATATTATGGACAGCTCTATGCCAACATAACTGGAAATTTTCTGGGATAATATCCTAGAAATATCAAAAATTGACATGAAAAACCAAAAATCTTTCCCTCAAAGAAAGTAACAGGTGGTTTTACAGGCATGTTGTAGGAAGCAAGGCATAAATAATTTGAATGTCATATAGACTATTCTCGAGTAGAGAAAAATTCTTCCAAACTCCAACTTCTTTTATGAAGCCAGCATACCCTTAAAACTGAGACCAAACAAGAAAAATTACAGGCCAGCCTCACTCATTGAAACTAAGACAACTAAATGGTAAAGCAATTAAAAGCACTCATTTTAGCCTGGCCGGGCATGGCTCAGCAGTTGAGCATAGACCTAGGATCCAGAAGATAGCGGTTCCATTCGATTCCCAGGCAGGGCACATGTCTGGGTTATGGGCTCGATTCCCAGTTGGGGGCATGCAGGAGGCAGCCAATCAATGACTCTCATCATTGATATTTCTATCTCTCTCTCCCTCTCCCTTCCTCTCTCTGAAATCAATAAAGATATATTAAAAAAAAAAAAAAAAAAAAAGCACTCATTTTAACATCAGGAAAAAGACAAGGATGCCTACCACTTCTATTATTATTGTACTGGAGATCCTGATTAGTGCAATAATTTTTTTTAAAAAGACAGACTCATCAAAGAAAAAACTGTCATTTTTTCACAGATGGTGTGGTTTTCTATGTAGAAAACTCAAGGGAATCTAGAAATAAATAATCAGAATTAGAGAGTTTAACAAATTTACTGCATGTGAAATCAATATGGAAATTCAGTCAATGTGACAAAGGTACCATAGTTATACAAGATGTTAACACTGGGGGAAACTGAGTGGAAAGTATACAGAAATACTTCATAATTTCTTTTTATTGATTTTTTTTTTTTTCTTAGAGTGGAAGGGAAAAGGAGAGTAGAAACATCAATCAATGAAAGAGAAACACTGATTGGCTGCCTCCTACTGGGAATCAAGCCCAAAACCCGGGCAGGTACCCTGACCAGGAATCGAACTAGAGACCTATTGGTGCATGGGAAAATGCTCAACCAACTGAGCTACACTGGCAGGGTACTTTATAACATTTTTATAAATCTAAAATTATCCCAAAATCATCTTAATAAATGACTTTAAAAATTAATGTCTGACAATATTAAACATTAGGAAAGATGTAGAGCAACAAAATTATATATTGCCAACGCAATGTAAATTGGAAAACACTTTGGCATTATCTTGCAAATCAGAACATGTCTATACTCTTGGACCAAAAAATTCTACTCCCAAGTATACACCCAGAGCAACCCTTGCACACGTATGCAAGAATGTTCATAATAGCATGTTTGTAATAGCATAAGAGTGAAAATGTCTAGTCATAATAGATAAACTATAAATTGTGATTAATTATAAATAAATTGTGATAAATTGTGATATATAAATTGTGTTTGGAATACTAAACACCAGCCAACACATCAACCTAGATCAATGTATTCTCAACAGGGGTGATTTAGAGGGTCAAAACTAGTTTGGACAGGTAGGGAAAATCTTAGATATTACAATGGCTTTGCCCCTCCAACAGGTCACAGTACATAGACTTATATCTGTGGTATTAAAATTTTATGGGAGGAAGAAGGAGATAATTAGTATAAAAAATGTCTAAAAAGGATCCTCAGAGGTATGAAAATTTTTAAAAAGTTGAGAAACAATGACCTAGGTATATCTCAAGAACGTAACATTGAGTGAAGAAAGCAAGTTACAGAAGAAAACATACAGTATACTATTTACATAAAGTGTAAAACATACAAAATAATACATTGTCTAGGGATATGTATATGTATCAGTATGTGTGTATATATATGTGTGTGTTTAAACTATAATGTTTTTTTTTAAATATATTTTTATTGATTTCAGAGAGAGGAGAGGAGAGGGAGAGAGAGAGACAGAAACATCAATGATGAGAGAGTCACTGATCAAGCCCACAACCGGGTATGTGCCCTGACTGGGAATCGAACCCTGATCGCCTGGATTCCAGGTCGACACAACCGCTGAGCCACGCCCGGGCTAAACTATAATTTAAAAAGAACAAAATAGGAGTTACATTTGTGAAGTAGGTAGGCAGAATCATGTAGAAATCTAGGAGGGACATACAAGGAAATTCAAAAGTGCTGGCTGTGTTCTTTCCTAAGACTGGGATAGTAAACACATAAGTTTTAATTGTATTATTCTTCATCCCTTAGTTATTTACATATTTTTTGTGAGTATGAAATGTTTCATAATTAGAACTATTTATAAGTACTACTTAAAAATACAACATAGCACCATGGCAAGTGTGGCTCAGTTGGCTGGAGCGTCGTCCCATGCACTGCAGGTTTTCGGGTTTGATTCCCAGTCAGGGCACATACCGAGGTTGTAGGCTCAATACCCCATCAGGGTGGAAGCAACCAATCGATGTTTCTCTCTCCCATTGATGTTTCTCTCTCTCTCTCTCCCTTCTTCTCTCTCTAGAATCAATGAAAAACATATTCTTAGGTGAGGATTAAAAAAAATACATACATAGCAATTTACTATATGTAAAATCTTAGTAGTTTAACTTAAAGTGTAGAAGAGCCTTTCCATTGATCGGTATTAAATAATATTAAATAATATTAATGATATTAAATCTCTGCTTAATTTTTTAAAGAAAATATTTTTTTAAAAGTACAGCTCATACCCAACCACCTTGCTGAATGATGTACTCTGCTGCATAGTCCTCCAGATATGTCACACCAAACTGCAGCAATGCACGCAAAGGTTCTTGACCACGTCTTGTCAACTCCAAAAGCATTTGTTGTAGCAAAACCAGAGGCACCAAAATCTTCAATGCAAAGATGAGAGAGTAAAAACGCAAAGTGAAATTCTTATAATACATTTTATATGTTCAACTACTAGAAAATTATACTGAGATGCATCATTATGAAATTTCACTTTTATTATAATGCAGGAAATAAAATATTGACCCCTACTATAATTTTTGTGAATGCATATAGGTTTTATACCTTAGGGCAGCGATTTTCAAAAATGTGCACACTAGTATGCCACAAGAGGCACACTGGTATGCTGCAAGAATTTTTAAAACATTCAATATTTGACTTTTTTTCAATCCTCACCTGAGGATATTTTGTCCACTGCTTTTCAGAGAGAGTGGAAGGGAGAGTGAGAGAGAGAGCAAGAGAGCAAGATATGAGAGAGAGAGAGAGAGAGAGAGAGAGAGAGAGAGAGAGAGAGAGAGAGAGAGAGAGAG